CCCCCCCTTCCCCAGCAGGGAAAGGGGAGCGTGACCTGGTGATGAAGCACAGCCGATGCGTTTCGTGAGTAGGTGTTGCTGATTTATTTCCGATATTTAAGTGTTTTGTAGGCCTTGGGGGGACACGGCCATTACACAGCGTTGTAAAACTAATTCATTATACTGAAAATCGTAGGTAAAAGGCTTACAAAGAAGTTGTAGGGGCGGGCTACCGAGGAGGCCTGAGTGAAAGCAGCTTGATTTGTCAAACTGGCTTCACCCTCTGGCTACCGTGTTTTTTAAAGACTGCTTTCACTTAATACAAGCACTTGTAAAGAAGTGCTTGCATCATTCAAAGAACAGCTTATGTCCTTACTAGGTAACTTTGGAAGTCTGGGCTTGTACAAAAATACATTTTTTTTAGAACGTTATTTATTTAGATTGATTAGGTCTAAAACTTGCTAATGTAATTCTCTTGCGCGGTTGCTCTAATTACCTTATTTTTAGTGCAATATATTTATGACAATGAAAGACAAGTAATTTTCACTAATAGGCTTAAAGCAGTAGTAGAAGGCAGAGTAAAAATGCTGAAAATTTTATTGAGAGAATAACTGGAGGGATCAAATGTACAGGTGAGGTAGCTGTTGAAATAGGTTGCTACTGAACACTTACTATCATTATTAAATATTAATCAAACATTAGTAACCTGAATGTTCAGTGTTACTGTTTAGCTTCCATCTGAATAAAAAATGGGAAGCGTAGTAAGAGGCGACTTTCTGCGTATATCTTGAGATCTTTAAAGGCCTTAAACCAACAAGGGTCCATCCAAAGAAAATGAGAGCAGGGAAAGGAGCTTGTGAGGTAAAACGAGTACTGTGGGTATGAATGTCAGGGAATATAAGGCATGCGGTCCCCTTCTGTTAGGAAGAACAGGGAAAACAGTCATAAACAAATCATGGATGTTGCAAAAATGCTGGAGTAGTCAGTGCAGCCTTTGTTCAGCTTTGCTGGAAAAGTTGTAGACAGATATTTGCTAAAGCTGACAGAAACAATATGATGGGAATGCAATCAGAAAAATACTTTAAAAAAAAAAAAAAAAAGAGAAAAGCTGGCTGAGCTTTGATCCCCTGAAAGATTCTGAGGAGGTGGTTTGGGAGGAGAATTTGACAGTAAGTAGAAGACAATTAAAAACAATGTGGAAACAGGAAATGGACTAGTTTTGTTTGTTAAGAACAGTCTGGATGAGACTTTTTTTATGGTAGCCAATGCAGTTATTGAGGAAAGAATGTAAGTGCTTTGTCTTAAGTTTTACAGGGTTTCTGCCATTGTCTGGGTTGGTGTTAAAAGCAAGCTACTGAAATGTGGTCTAAAAATAATTTTTGTGAGCTCTTGTTGTACAGGTGGTTGAAAAATTGCTTTTGAAGCTGATTTGTAAACAATTTACTTTTAAACAGGGATGTCACAAAGTGTCCTCCTGGGGACTTCTGTTTTGAATGTATTTTCACTGTTTTCTGTAACGGTGAACACAAAATAAATATGTTGCCAAGTTTGAAGGATTGCAAATACTGTACAGCTCAGGGTCAGAATTCAAAATGATCTTGAGAAGATTGGAAATCAGTGTAATTAAGCTCAGTTAACATGAACTGAGGGAGGAAGAGAACACAGGGAGGAAAAATCAAAGGCATAATTAGTGGAAAGGGTATTACTGCACAGCAAACGGTATCCCCAAAAAGCATTTGAGCACTGTAGTGTATAGTAAATTAAATATTACTTGATAATATGATCTCTTTTGAATGAGACAAATGTTATTTTTACATATTGAACAAGTGTGATTAAATATAAAGACAAGGAAAGTGATTACTCTGCTCTGTTGAATAAGGGCCTTAGCTAAAATAGTATGGCTATCTTTTTAGCATGTAGATCTATAGACTCTGCAAGAATATTAGGTTTATAAAACTTGGTTTGTCAGGGAAACTTGAAAGGCATAGAAAAAGAAACTAAGAGCAAATTCGATGAGTGCCCTCGTATCTCAAGGATGGAAGGCTCTAAAGGGTAACTCCACTAGTGGTCATTACCCTCCCAGGAGAGGACCCAGCTAAGGTTTCCACTTGCCTGAAAGCCATCACCAGAAGGAATGTGGTGACCCAGACAGAGTTCCCACACAAACATAAAGCAGTCCAGGTCTCTGGCTCCAGGGCATGCCCGAGCCTGTCACCTGTACCGCAAGGCAGCGGAGACAGCAGCTGTTTTTGGTGTGACCACGTGGATGATATGCTCAGCCTGGTGGCAGGGCTGAAAGAGGAAGTGGAAAGGTTAAGGAAGATCAGGGAGTGTGAGGGGGAGATAGACTGGTGGAGCCACACCTGACCACCGCTGAGGCCAAGGCAGCAGATGGAAGCTCCACAAGAATCCGAGGATCCCCTACCCTCTTGCCACCAAGCAGAAGGAGGTGACCTAAGAGACGGGGGGGGGAATGGAAACAGGTCCCTGCTTGGGGGGGGACAGGGTATCCCCTCCCGACCTCCCTCACCTTCCCAATTGCCCTTGCACAACAGATATGGGACTATGGAACTTGAGGGCCAGGCAAATGAGGGTATAGGTGAAGGTCTGTCCAGGGGGTTGCCTAGGGTGAGTCAGTCAGCCCCATGCATTATGACTGCCTCTGTTAAGAAAAAAAGGAGAGTAATTGTCACCTTCTGAGGGGAGCAGAGGGCCCAATATGGTGACCTATCCCACAGAGAAGTCTGCTGCCTCCCTGTGCCCCGGGTTAGAGATGTTACTAGGAAACTCCCTGGTCTGGAACGGTCCTCTGATTATCACCCGCTGCTGGTTATGTGGGTTGGCAGTGATGAGGTTGCAAAGAGAAGTCCACAAGCAATGAAAAGGGACTTCAGGGTACTGGGGTGATTTGCTGAAGGAACAGGAGCACAGGTAGTGTTTTCCTCAATCCCGTCAGTGGCAGGGAAGAATACTGAAAGGAATAGGTAAACTCACCTGATTAACATGTGGCTTAGAGGCTGGTGCCATCAGTGGAGTTTTGGGGGTTTTGATCATGGGGAGGTTTACACAGCACTGGGCCTGCTGTTGACAGACAGAGTTCAGGTATCTCAAAGGGGTAAAGGTTTCTTGCTCATGAGTTGGCAGGGCTCATCGAGAGGGCTTTAAACTAGATTCAAAGGGGGAAGGGAATATAACCAGTCTCACTAGTGAGGAGCCTAGGGGTGGCATGCCAATGTTGGGGGTGAAATCAATAGCCCAGCTTAAGTGCCTCTACACCAATGCACGCAGCATGGGCAACAAAACTGGAGGAGCTGGAAGCCATTGTGCAGCAGGATAGCTATGACTTAGTCGCCATCATAGAAACTTGGTGGGATGACTCCCACGACTGGAGTGCTGCAATGGATGGCTATAAGCTCTCCAGAAGGGATGGGCAAGGAAGGAGAGGCGGTGGGGTGGCTCTGTATGTTAGGGGGTGTTTTCATTGTGTAGAGTGCAACGATGGTGATGATAAGGTTGAGTGCTTATGGGTAAGGATGAGGGCAAAGGCCAACAAGGCAGATATCCTGCTGGGAGTCTGTTACAGACCACCCAACCAGGATGAAGAGGTAGATGAAGCATTCTACAAGTGTCTGGCAGAGGTCTCTCAATTGCTAGCCCTTGTTCTTGTGGGGGACTTTAAATTACTGAATGTCTGCTAGAAATACAGCACAGTACAGAAGAAAAAGATTAGGAGTCTGGAGTTTCTGGAGTGTGTGGAAGATAACTTCCTGACACAGCTGGTAAGTGAGCCTACCGGGGAGGTGCTTTCCTTGACCTGCTGTTTACAAACAGAGAAGGACTGGTGGGAGATGTGGTTGGAGGCTGTCTTGGGCATAGCAACCATGAAATGATAAGAGTTCTTGATTCTTGGCAAAGTAAGGACGGGGGTCAGTGAAACCACTACCATGGACGTCAGAGAGCAGACTTTGGCCTATTCAGGACACTGGTTGGGAGAGTCCATTGGGAGTCAGTCCTGAAGGGCAAAGGGGTCCAGGAGGGCTGGGCATTCTTCAAGAAGGAATTCTTAAAGATGCAGGAGCAGGCTGTCCCCATGTGCTGTAAGATGAACTGGCAGGGAAGATGACTGGCCTGGCTGAACAGGGAGGTTTTGCTGGGACTCAGGAAGAAAAGGAGAGTTTACCACTTTTGGAGGAAGGGGCAGGCAACTCAAGAATTCTTGAGTCCAGGGATCTCACTAGCTCATGCAGAGAGAAAATTAGAAGGGCAAAAGCCCAGCTAGAACTCAATCTGGCCGCTGTTGTAACAGGTAATAAAAAATGTTTTTACAAATGGGTTAACAACAAAGAGAGCCAAGGAGGATCTCCATCCTTTGTTGGGGGGAAACACTGCCACCAAGGATGAGGAAAAGACTGAGGTACTTAATGCCTTCTTTGCCTTTAATAGTCAGAGCAGTTATCCCCAGGGTATTCAGCCCCCTGAGCTGGAAGACAGGGATGGAGAGAAGAATAAACCCACCATCATCCAGGAGGAAGCAGTTAATGACTTGCTATGCCACCTGGATACTCACAAGTCTATGGGACCAGATGGGATCCACCCAAGAGTACTGAGGGAGCTGGTGGAGAAGCTTACCAAGCCACTCTCCATCATTTATCAGCAGTCCTGGTTAACAGTGGAGGTCCCAGATGACTGGAGGCCTGCCAATGTGACCCCCGTCTACAGGAAGGGACTGAAGGAGGATCTGGGGAACTACAGGCCTGTCAGTCTGACCTTGGTACTGGGGAAGATTGAGTGGTTCATCTCGAGTTCCCTCACCAGGCATATGCAGGACAACCAGGAGATCAGGCCCAGCCAGCATGGGTTTATGAAAGGCAGGTCATGCCTGACCAACCTCATCCATATCCTTCTATGACCATGTGGCCCACCTAGTGGACGACGGAAAGGCTGTGGATGTTGTCTACCTGGACTTAGCAAAGCCAATACTGTTTCCCACAGCATTCTCCTAGAGAAGCTGGTGGGTCATGGCTTAGACAGGCATAATCTTTGCTGGCTAAAAAACTGGCTGGATGGCTGAGCTCAGAGAGTTGTGATC